AAAATGGTCCGATCCTAAAACTGAAGAGGAACGTTATGCTTCAAAAAGTTTCCGCTCCAATATCCTTTCAGGGAAGATAGTAGTTTTGACACACCCTGTATACCTCAAACGTAATGTATGTTTAGGTTTTTCTATGTGTATCCGTTTTTCTATTGATAACTCATTAACAAACCGTGGGAGAAAGAAATTTTATTAGAGTTTTCGTCTTCAAATTCCCCCCCCCCCCTCCCGATCTACTTACACACTGTGCTTTCAGTAATGAGACACTTTGTATGAAGTTCTGGGTATCCTCCCTTGGAAAGCACAATGGATAGGAATGTATGAAAGAAAATTCCTACTGAGCAGTCACAATACTTTTTTGTACCCAGCATTGAAATCTTCGACGTCTATGAACAGTTTCATCTCCGTAGGTGTTACGTACTTGAATGTTAAAGAAATAAAAAATAATTTTCATTGATGTATTTACGGAAAGAGACTCAGATATGACGCAATTCTTGAACAAAAAAGGGTAAAGGATATTGACTGCAATAATTGGATTGACAATAATTGCATTTTTATTTGTAAATGTTTTAACGCGAAATATAGAACAATATTATTTTCTTGTCTGAGAAATTACCCGGAAAATGGAAATTTGAATCCTCTTTGTTCGTGGTACTTTCCCCAAGAGAAATATCACAGGAGGTACAGAATAGAATTTTGGTTTTTTCTCTCCCTCGAAAATAGTTTCACAGTGCGTACTCTCATAAAACATACCTTTCGGTCACCGTCCCCTACAATAAAAACGATTTTCTGAAATTTTGGTCCCTCACTTTACAACTTAATTCTTTGCAGCCGGGGCAATATAAGTATATTGTGCCCCTAGGGAGTAAAAGTATTTTCTGACGACTGTGATTATAACCCTCACCTTCGGTTCGGGTTATAACGTCACATTCGTCAGAAAATACTTTTACTGCCGTGTAGCACACGATATTTGATGCTTCGAGGACTGAAAACCGCGATTTAACCAAGCGAAGCGAGGTTAGAATCGCGGGTTTCCGTCCCTAGAGGCATAAAAACAATTTCTTGAAAATTCTCCTCCCTACAGTTTACGACTTAATCCGTTGCATTTCGAAATTTCTTTCCCTTTTCGTGGGTCATTTAAACCGTTGAAAATTCCCCAAATTACCTGGGAGAGAAGAGAGGCCCCTCTCCAAATTTCAAGGGACACCTCCCTCTCCTCACAATTTTCACCAGTTAGTAATGAGCATGTCCCTCTTGTTGAAATTTTTTGAACCTTAAGTACACGCCCTCGGAGGGCGAAGGTTGAGTGAGAGAAAAATTACAAATCAGTTCCAATTCCAATTTTCAAGGAATAACTTCGAAGCTTCTTCCCGCACATATTCGAGTCCTCTTATCTTCAATCTCGTGATTCAAGTCGTTCTATATTTGTTTCCAATTGCCCGGAGTTATTTTATATTTAATAATTGTAAAACTAGCAATCGAATTCTCGAGATTAATTTTCAAACATATAAATTAATTTTCTACGTGACAAAGTGTAAAAAAAAACTATTCGAAAGCTGAAGTGATTTTTATTACTGTGTAAAATAGAAACAAAAATTATTTGTGAGTAAATTTAAATATTGAGAAATGACTCTGTGTTACGGTGTTATCGTTATTTTAATCAAGTGAAAAAATCATAATTAAATCGAACTAATATTTTCGTCGTTTTATTCTTTCGAGTGAAGTTTAATTCAATAGCTCGAAAAGTGCATATGACAAAAAATATAATCACACGCACAGTAGGAGACGCTAGATATCAGAATCCATTATCCAAATCGAGAACACTGCAGAACTTGGTGGAACCGGATTTTAGTTGATTGTGTTCATTAGCATTTTCCCCCAAATACAGCATGACAAATTGAAACATTGGAATCCGTCAGGATTCCGAAAACTATTCAATTCGGGAATTTATTCACATTTACACTTCAGCGATCTGCCCAGACCGGTGAGCCACCCGCAGCTTATTTTATACCGGACAATGAGACCCTATAAGGCCAAATTCAACACATTCAACCTCATGGAAATAATGCTTGTCAAAGTCTCCCTCTATTGAAAGCCGATAACAGTGTTCTATGGAGATACTTCCTTTGTATTTAGATTTGCGCATAAATCCAATAAGATGGAGATAAAGTCTGAAGATATATTGGATTGAGCTCAGTCGCGGACAAGCTTTTCAACATAATAGACCGAACGGCTTATTTAACACGAAATATATTAAGAAGAAAATCAAAACTTTTTCTTCTGAAGCTTCATTTCATCATGAAGTACCATTCTGGTTCAAACAACAAAACGATGAACGTTATCATATATTTTCGTGAGTGAGCGGGATGGATAATTGTGGAATTTGACAGTAATTCAGATGATGAAACATGGTTACTATGTCTCTGAGCTTTTAATCATTTATTTATTTAAAAAATAAAACTCCGTCGGTCATAACCAGCAATAACTAACGCCATTTAATTGAAAACTAGTAGCCAATATTTCGAGTGCGGAAACCACTTCTTCTCGGGGCAAAATTTATTAATTTACAATAATCAACAGAATATAATACCATAAGTAAATATTTCTATCCAGAGTAAATATTGCAACGTAATAAAAAAATTTTTAAACGAAATTTAATTCACCACGTTACCTAATATGTTCCATTTATATTAAAACACCCATCTTCATCAACAAATAACTTAAATCTGTCATTTGTGGTAATTTGTGATATTTGGAGCGGTTGAAAAATCGTTAATTAGGTTTAAAAAAGTATAAACAATAATAAGACAAATTAGTGAAGAACAATCGACGGAATATATGACTGTAATTAACTTAGCAAAGATAAAAAAAACATTTGCCTTCAACAATAGATCCACAGAAATTGCCGATAGTGTAGTTGAAATCATTCAGTTCCACGGCAGAACATAATAAATAAGAATATAAAGGTGTAAATAAACGACACTTAAACCAATCAGAAAACAGCTTGCTGAGAATATCACCAATTGTCGTCTCAAACTTCTGCGAATGAAAATGGGCTCGATCAACCGAGAGAATGAATTGTCAAAGGGAGATTTGGCGCTTGGTGACCGTGGAGACCAGCTTCCTCAATCATTGAAAATGACTGCAGGAAATCCTGAAAACAACACTCAGAAAGAAATTAGTAGTACGTTTCGGAGTTTAGTAGAGATGATTGAACAATTTTGTGCAACGTGTCAGCTTGGCAATGATTGTACCAATTCATCAATTACTAATGAAGCAGGAAAAAAGGCTGCGGAGTGGTTGCAGATGACGAAATCAATCGCCTCAAGTTTGGAAAAGATTCTCGCTGGATATCCGGAAATTTATAATCTCGGTTCGATGCAAGGTATCACTCAAGACTTAATGCCTGTAGTTGGAAATGAATGCTCTACTAAAATTGAGGGGACCAGACACAACGACCATATCCTATACCCAATAGTCTCCGTCGAAGATGTACCAGAAAAGCCCGCAACATTCTATAAGAATGTTACCTACCAGATCAGTCGTAGTGATGGAAATAGTGTGTTTCATTTGAAAACACTGATGGACACAGGCAGTGGAATGAGTTTTATTAAAAAGAGATTCATCCCCATAGAGTTTATGGAAAATGCGGGTTCGAACAAGAACGATTTCGTCGGAGTTAATGGATCAAAGATTACTATATATGGTCTGTTGAGAGTGAACGTAATAATCGACAAGGTATTTAGAAAGGATCAAATTTTATATGTCGTTCCAAATTCGACGATGAAACCGGCAGTTATTATGGGCCGAAATGTGATCATCAGTTTTGGATTCAGATTAATACGAATTCCTAGAATACGAGACGATAGCCCAATGCGCATCGGTGGACATGACACTTTGAGCCATGTCTCTGAGTCAATGACTATCAATCCTCAGTTATCGGATGAAATTCAACACATTATTTACAAATTATTCAGGGAAGAATATTTCAAGTCGATAAGGCCTGCTGTCGCAGATATGGATATGGAATTTAAACTAAAATTTCAAGATCTGAAACCGTTTTATCATGGTTCACGAAAATTATCGGTTGATCAAACGGATAACTTGCGGAAAATTTTGAATTGTTTGGAAATAAAGAGTATCATCCGTCGGAGTTCTTCACGTCACGTGTCCCCAATGAGTTTGGTTAAGGTAATTAATGGGAGTTTACGATTATGTATCGATTATCGTCATTTGAATGAAATGGTAATGGACCAGGAACCAACTCGTCTAATCGAAGATCCAGCTGGTCACTGGAGGAATAAGAAATATTTCAGTAAACTTCGTTTGAAGAATGGATTTTTTCCCATTCATATGGCGGAGCAGTCGATTCGATATACTGCCTTTACAACGCCGTTTGGCGTCTTCGAATACGTGCGAATGCCCAGTGGGCTGGGAGGGAGTTCTTTGTGTTTTAATCAGTTCGTCAGACTCGTGTTGGCGAGTTTTATTGATTCTGGTGACATTGTTTACATTGACGATTTATTGATTGCAACGGAAACTATTGAAGAGCATCTGACTATTTTGAAGGGTTTACTCCCGGTATTGAATGCTAATTTGTTGGAGCTTTGTATAGATAAATGTGAAATATTGTTACCAGAAGTCAAGTTCTGGCAGTATTTAATCTCAGAACAAGGAATAAAGCCTAATCCATTCGATGTTATGGTGATTGGGGATTTTCCTCTTCCACGAGATATTCAAAGTGTTGCTAAATTTTTGAAGGGGATTTCACGCTACAGTAAATTCATTCCCGAGTATTCTCTTGTGGCACTGCCTTTGTCAAAACTTTTTTACCCTGAAGTTGCGTTTAAATTCGGAAGGAAACAAATTAATGCTTTTGAAATATTGAAGGAAAGGCTCTTCGAGGGACCTGTGTTGAGTATTTACAATCCTTGTGCGGAAACGGAGCTTCATACAAGCGTATGCCCACACGGATTCTACGCCACTTTGAAACAAAAGCAGAATGACTGCTCGGTTCGGCCAATTTCGTATTTTTCGAAGAAAATGACTGAGGCCGAAGCCTGTTATGAAAAGTATGAGTTAGAGATACTAAGCATTATCCACGCGTTGAGACATTTTCATGCTCATCTTCGAAATCTTTCGTTCAAGATCATGACGGATTTGAAAGCTCTCCATATCGCTTTTAATAGAAGAGGCACGTGTCCACGAATGCAGAAATGGATAGATGAATTGATACAATATGATTATCGGGCTGATCATCGATCTGATTCGATGTACTACTCTGAGTCGTCTGTTGAGGTAAGTGTTGTTAATCACTCAAATAATAATACCTTATTTTACACGGAAAAAACTATACCGACACAATTTTAAAATTTGATTCATCTTGACCGAATTTTTACTCGTCTCAAATTAAATTTTACTTTTATTCTACACAGAGAGAAATTTTTGATAAAAATTATCCCATCGTTCTATAAAAGTGTACCATGAGTCATCGCTTCTTCATTTCTATCCCGGAATTTAGTAAAAATTAACATATGATGATCAAATTCTATTCCACGTTAGACAAATTTTATCCTGATAAAAATAAAAATTACCGTGCCGGTAGAGTAAAAATTTCTGTACCGGTTCGGTAAAATTTACCAACCGTTCTAGAATTTTCGTTGTTATCTACATACAAATTATTGGACTGGAAGGGTAAAATTTATTATGCGTCAGGATAAAATTTCTCTAACGTGGAACAAAATTTGATTATTATACATCAATTCCCACTCCATTTCGGAATAGAAATGAGGAAACGATGACTCATGATTCACTTTTGTTACGTCATAATTTCACAGACTTACCTTGTATAAATCCGTAAATATGAATATAAAATTTTACCTGTTTTAAGCCTATCCGTTAGGATAATAGCTTGGGATAGGTTAAGTGCTATCAATTAATCCAGAAATAAAAACACAGACAATTAATTTAAATGGATTTTTAGCTCTAATCCAATATTTCAATCTTTTTAATTTTTTTTACAATATGTTACGAGAACAATAATTTTAATATGGAAATTGACTGAATCATTCCATTCAATGGTTCTATCAATTTTGGGTAAATCCTTTGAATTCTCTTGAATGAAATTAATTAATTGATAAAAAAAATATTTAATTTTTGTGTGCTCTCATCTGTTCTCTAAGTTTGACGTCAGAATCAATGAACAAATTTACTCATCTTGAATAAAATATTTAATATTTGTGATCTTCTAAAATTCAAAGAATATTTTTTCAATTCTTTCAATAATTAAAAGGGAAATTCTCTTAAAGAATTAAAATCCTGCGTGAATTGGAATAACTCACTCAAGCACAATATTTGAATAATCAAATCAAATGAAAATAATCGAAATACAAGCTGGGCTTGATCTGAATATTAGTATAATTAACACGTTTGATGGTATATTCAAATGACAATTATATTTTGGGTCATACGCAAAAATTATCATCATTATTATTGATCATCAAAATTAAATTGAATCCGAAGAAATCGACGTGAATGCAATGACATTTTTGTTAAAATATTTGTCCCTAAAAGAACACCCTTTCGACTGAATTTAGAACTTGAAATGACTTTAAGGAAACCGATCAATCATTTCAAAATAAAATGAATCGATGGAAAAAGTTCTATGAGACGGAAATCCAACAAATAACAAAAAAAAATATTGTTAAATTTTTCGACTCACGATTGCTGCAATAATTCTTTAGATTATTTAACAATTCGATGAATTTCAAGATGGCTTCGGATGCTGTCCCCTCGTGAACGTTTTCAGGAATGCCCTCGATAATTGCCCTCCGGATTTTCCTCAATAGTTGCCCTCAGGATTTTGTCTTCAGATGAAGATCTTCAGATGATGTACTTTCTCTTTTCGGTGATGATTTAAAGGGATAGATTGTTAATTTACGAAAAACGGAAGATTAAATTTTACTCCATGAAATATTTTTAAATCGATTCGAATCGTTATGAAAATTCAATCAAAATTTCAATTGGTCAATTAATTTATTTAGTGGAATCGGTTTCTTTAAAATTGTAATTCCCAAAAATCCGAACTAATTAAATTGAACCGAAATTTGATTGATACTGAAATCGATTTATTTAAATTTAAACCGAAAAATTAGTTGACACTGAAATCGATTTATTAATTTTGAAACGAAATTTTAATGGAGCGATTTATTTAAATATGAACCGAAAAATTGATTGAGGGATTTATTTAATTTCGAAACGAAAAATTAATTGACTGTTATGTCCGAAGAATTTATTAATGCTTCGGAGGACTATCTTTTAATATATATTTAAAAGAAAGCTCAAATTTTTAAAATTTTAAAATTATTGGACCACGCGAAGTTTTATACTCTTACCTTGGCAAAGGGGCTTTCTGGGTAGAAAAAGGATTTGATAACTAGGGAAAGGATTAAGTTCTCGAAAAATGTTGAACATCAAGAGATTTAAAATTGGTTTATGCTTTAATTATGAATTTAAGAAAAATTTAGGTTTACAAAACAGAATATTTAATTTACGAAAATCTAACAATTCAATTATCTTGAAATTTTCTACCTCTGGAATGATCTGAAGGATTCAAATTTGGGTTTACAAATTTCATTACTCACAATTCGGTCTGTTTTGTATAAGTTAATCGATGTATTTATAGATCCCTGGGTAAATCCGTAATTTCCTCACCAGCAATTAGTTGTGCTAAAGGCTATTATGGATACTTCCACGGAAACACTTTTTTCTACTCGTTGATGTATTTTAATAAATTTTGACAGTTGAATTTTAAAGTTGTATGAGGCTGTCCATAACGCGTCACAATAAACGAATTCCTTATATGTAGTGTGACCGGGGAATTTATCAAATATATTAAGATATCATAATTACCTGGGGATGGGGTTATTTTAGATCGGGGAATAACCTCAATTAATTAATAGGACCTGAAATGCAGGATTAGGGTACTTGAATCAACGGGTACGCAAACTGTAATTGAAATAATATTGAATATATTCTGAAGATTCTATCGTACATAAAATATCTACATAAACTGTTGAATGCCTTTTATCAATTATCTAGGGGAATGGGTAAGGCCAGGTTACTTCTGTACACGCGTAAAAGGGATGACTCTAGATGATATGCAAAAGGGAAAAATCTAGTCATGTCTAGGGGTGAAAACAACCAATCAATTCAATACAATGTTCTTTGAAATAATATATTAATTACTAGGGGTAAAATTGTGTAGGCTCACCGTTGGGGGGAAAGATTTAGGGAAATTATAACGGGTAAAGGGGGAAGGTAACTGGTACTCACGACGACTGCCAAATAATATTGAAGAACATTGGCGCCCTGGTTAGGTCAGGTCTTCCACGGGATAATTAATTAACTGGAGCCTCCGTTCCTTCTCTGGACTCCTGGGCATGGCCAATCTTCAGGCCACAATTTCACGTCTTGATCCGGAGCCTCTCGCTCCAATCGGGATTTTTACAAGAATTTCTAAATATTACTTTTCAACTAATACGCATGACCACGTGCTGACACCCGGGACTGTTGGGACAAGAGTGTCTTTCTTGTTCTATTTCCGCTTTATTCGGACCTCTTTTGCCCATCTGCGGGCTGTCCTGCCAGTAATTTCTCCTCAGGTCCAGGGGCGTATGATAACGGGGAAAATAACTTCAGTATCGGTGAGGGACGTTTCCACGAGAATTCCAGGGAAGGCACGGTTCCATTCTTTCGGCCCGTGGGCCGGCTCTGGTGATCTCTCTTGTCATGGGGTATCCGGGAATGTTCGGGCTCTCTTCCTCGGGGTGATCCATCTGCAGGTTGTGCTGTTCTCGGAATTTGCTTCGGGTTGAGGGCGTAGGGAGGGAATATCGAGGGAATTTCGGGTGACCAACGGTGGCGGGAAATATTTAGGAGGAAATATCGTATGGGGGCTCAGTTCACCTCGTCACAGTAGGAAAAGTCCCCACTCTCGATTAAATAAATTTTATTCCTGGATAATTTCAATTGTTCGTAACCTACTATTAATTCAGTATTATCCCACGTAATCGACGGAAGGATTGAAAAACCGGACCGATTAAGTGCTAACTACTTCCACCAGAATTGTTACTGCTCCGTCGCTGTTTCAAGACTGGTTAATTTTGATTTTTCTGACATATTTATGTGAATTTTGGGGTCACTTGTCACATGGGCTCCAACAAGTCCATTTTAAAAGGTGGAAAATGTCGTATGACTTTTCCCACTCTTTTGATTTCGATTGGGGAAGTAGTTCATTCGGTTTTTGGGATTTCAATTCATCGGTTTTCAATCGTTCCTCCGCGTATTTCATCACTTTTGAACTCGATTCCAATGTCTTTGGAATTTTTACTCGAGTTCAAATGATAAAATGTCCTCCAAATAAAATTAGAATTACTTAAAACAATTTCAAAATTGTTTTACCTTATTTTAAATTTAGGCATAAAATTTTTGGAAATTACGTGACACTGGAATCGATTGATTAATTCTGAACCGAAAAATTTTAATTGAGTGATTTATTCAATTTCGAACCGAGACATTGATTGAGACTGAAATTGATTTATTTAAATTTGAATCGAAAATTTTGATTGACACTGAAATTGATTTTTTTTTTCAAACTTGGAAACGAATTTTATGCGAACGCGAATACGAAAATTTATTATATTCACTCATTATTATATTCACTCAATCACTCGCGAAACACTTGGGAGATTTTTGGGGTTTTGGATAATCGCCGGGACCGAAGCTGGATCGGAACTGAAACTGCACTGACGATGCGTGGGCGATGCCCTTTTGCGTCATCGATTATTAATTATTAAGTGCGTGGGGGTGGGGTAGTAAGGTGCGGATGAGTGTTAAGTGTACTCTTTTAGGGGGAGGCAGTAGGTGGCCGATGGGTAGGGGCGCGTGGACGTGAGTTGATGGGTTTGTCGCGAGGGGTGACGTGATTCTAGGACAGTTTTTCCCCGGACAAAATTTCCCGGACAAAATCTCCCCGAAAAAGAGTTTCCCCGGACAAAATCTCCCTAAGAAAGGAATTTGCGATTAGGAAACCGGATCCGGCCAAAATAAATGCCCCTCTGCAACCTTTCTTATACTCGACACATCTCCAAATCACTCTCTTCGAATTTTCATCATGAAGGTTATTGAAATGAACAAAATAATAATTTAATTTTTGAGAAATGTAGCCTCTCTAAACTGTACATATTTCTTGGTATAAGAGTGGTGGGTGCGTATGGTCTGTATGCAGTTGTTCATGC